GCAGGAAAGGCTTAGAACATCTTTTCCTTCGCATGCCATCTTCCATTTTATATAGAGTTGTATGGTTTGTCTAAATACACATTTGATAAATGTAGTATACAGAATAAAAAGGATACTAGACAGATACTTGTGGGAGAAGCAGGGAGTTCTTAGTATCTCTATCTGTCAGCCATAATCACTAAAGTCTTTACACAAAAATATCATGTGATTTCTAATTTGGATTTGACATAGAATCATAGAACAGCCATAGATGGAAAGGATCTTGGAAGGTTTCTCCAACTCTTAATGGAAATAATTGCCAAAATAAGATTGTCTAGCATTCTATCCATCTGGAAGGCTTCCATCAATGGAAACTACACATCCCTAGGGATGCTGTCCTAGGGACTGCTTGTTCTCACTGTAAAAATATTATATAAAGATGAAAGCTTTTCTTACTGCAGCTGGTACCTGTTGCTCTTTGTTACCTCCATGTGGCTTCTTGTGAAGAGAGAGCCTCCATTCTCTTTCTAGTCCTCCTTTAAGTACAGGAACACTGTGATGAGGTCTACCCTTAGCCTCTTCTTCACAGGATTAAAAGACCAAGGTACTTCAATCCTTTTTCATAGGAAGCGTTCTCCAGTCTTTTGATCACTTTTGGGATCTCTCACATCTGTTCATGTCTATTTTGACTTGTGTGCACGCCTTGAAAAGCACATCTTTTTCTCTGCTAGTGATGTCCCTGAGGTTGCAACCCAAGATTCAATTTGTTTTCATCCATGTGTGACTCACCAGTGCATCCCCTATGCTCAGACCTCTAGTTTTTAACCCTGGTGATTAGCCTACACAGCTTGTTGCCTAGCATATTTCTGCCCCTTCTGGTAAGTTGCACACCATGTCAACATTCCTGGTTTGTCCAAAATATGTCCTAGAGCATAGAATCCATAGCCTTTGGCATGACAGTCATTCAACTGGTCCATTCTTTTTTTGCCAGGATCCTAATCTCTAACAGAGAGGACTGAGGAGAACACTGACTGTTCTTCCATGTGTTTGTATGGAACTTCCTGTGTTCCACGTTCCTGCCCCTTGTTCTTTCATGGCACACCACTGAAAAGAGTGAAGAGCACCCAATCCACTTGACTCCCACACTGTAGGTACTTGTAAACAGGGAGGAAATCATCTCTCAGTCTTCTCCAGGCTATAGTGTCCCAGATCTCTCAGCCTTATACAGGAAATGCTCCAGGCCCCTTCTCATCTTTGTGGTCCTCTTCTGGACTCTCTCTAAAAGATCCTTGTCTTTAGATCTGGATCCACCCTCTTGCCCTTTCTGAAGACCAGAGTAACGCTGACTATCCTCCAGTCATCAGACATTTCTGCCATTCTCCAAGATCATTCTTGCCTGACTTCTAACTCTTAGAAATTCATCATCCTGATCTTGGAAGAAATGACGCTTAAATGCTAACCAGCGCTTGTGAGCCCCCCTTCCTTCCAACACTATGTCTGCTAAGATAAAATGGGAAACTGAACTCTAGAGCTGAACTTTCCTTGCAAAATGTAAACATTTGACTCTGTTTGTGGGTTGCTAGCAGATCTGAATCTCAAAAGTACGAGGTCAGCTATGAAAGTAAAGCCTACATTTTTATTATATTGTCCTAGAATATCAGAGGCAGATGCTGGTGATAGGGACATGGAGGTTGAACCTTCCCACCACTATTCTGTTACATTTCATAGTCACACGACAGATGGCTGCAGAGGAGCAGTCTGACAGAACGGCAACTGGCATGACATCACAAATGAAGCAAAGGTGTGTCACTGAATTCCTCAATGAGGACAAAATGGCACCCACTGAAATTCATCAACATTTGCTGAGTGTACACAGGGACCAAACAGCGGAGGTGAGCACAGCGAGGTGGCGGGTGGCGCGTTTCAGTAATGACACCATCACAGCAGCTGTGAAACAGTGGGTCACCTCTGCTGGCACAGATTTTTACAAGCACGGCATGCAAGCTCTTGTTCATCACTGGTGAAAATGCACAGCCTCCAGAGTTTTGTAACATTACCCCTAAATAACTGCAGAATCATGAAAAGTGAATAAAATATTTGGTATGTGGTCACTTTGGCACTTCTTCAGAGACACAAATCACTGCAATGTGCAGGGGCCTGGCCCATGGATAACAACGTAAGCACCCTCGAGTGCAAGACAAAGTCTCTGGATCTGACAATAATGTGACAGGCCCCGCAATCTCTAGGTGAGGGTGTGGGGAACGGATTCCATCCCGCTGTAACAGTGGAACATGTCTGAGACCTCCTCATGTAATTGAATGTACGTAAGTCCGGTGAAGTGCCCCAGTGACTAGAAAAAGGGAAACATTACTCCCATTTTTAAGAAGGGGAGAAAGGAAGACTTATTGCCATCCTTATCTCCAAATTGGAGGAATGTGGATTTGATGGGTGGACCACCAGATGGATAAGAAATTGGTTGAAAGGCCGCAGACAGAGGGTGGTGATTAATGGATTAATGTCCAGGGGAGGCTGGTAATGAGTGATGTCCCCCAGGTGTCTGTCTTGGGACCGGTGCTCTTTAACATCTTAATCAGCAACATTGATGATGGAATCGAGTGCACCCTCAGCAAGTTTGCTGATGACACCAAGCTGAGCGGTGTGGTCAACACAGTGGAAGAAAGGGATGCCATTGAGAGGGACCTCAACAGACTTGAAAGGTGGGCCCAGGTGAACCTAATGTGGTTCAACATAGCAAAGTGAAAGGTTTTGCACTTGGGCTGGAGGAATCCCAGGCATCCATACAGACTGGAAGGAGCGGTCCTTGAGAGCAGCCCTGCAAAGAAGGACCTGGGGGTCTTGATAGATGAAAAACTTAACATGAGCCAGCAGTGTGCCCTTGCGGCAAATGATAACCTGGGCTCCATAAGAAGAGAGGTGGCCAGCAGGGACAGGGAGGTGATTGTCCCTCTCTGCTCTGCTCTTGTGAGGCCCCATCTGAGTACTTGTGCCCCCAGTACAAAAAAGACAGGGAGCTGTTGGAGAAGGTCCAGAGCAGGGCCACAAAGATGATCAGGGGACTGGAGCACCTCCCTACAAAGACAGGCTGAGGGAGCTGGGCTTGTTCAGCCTGGAGAAAAGAAGGCTGCAGGGTGACCTCATTGCAGCCTTTTGGTACCTAAAGGGAGCCTACAAACAGGGGGGAATCAACTCTTTGAAAGGGTAGATAACTGCAGGACAAGGGCAAATGGTTATAAGTTGAGGGAGGGAAGGTTTAGGTTGGATGTCAGGGGGAAGTTCTTTACTATGAGAGTGCTGAGGTGCTGAAACAGCTGCCCAGAGAGCTTCTGGACGCCCCATCCCTGGAATTGCTCAAGGCCAGGTTGGATGGGGCTCTGGGCAGCCTGGTCTAGTATTAAATTGGTTGGTGGCCCTGCATGTGGCAGGGGGTTGGAGATTCATGATCTCTGAGGTCCCTTCCAACCCAGGCCATTCTATGATTCTGTGATTCTGTGAAGACCCAGGGAACTACAGGCTGGTGAACCTCAGCTCTGTGCCTGTGAAGATCATGGAGCAGATCCTCCTAGAAGCTATTTAAAGGCAAATACGAGACAAAGGGGTGATCCGAGACAGCCAGAATGGCTTCATCAACGGCAGATCATGCCTGAACAATCTGGTGGCCTTCTATGATGGAGTGACGGCATCGGTGGATGGGGGAATGGTGACAGACATCATCTTCCTGGACTTCTGCAAAGCCTTTGACATGTTTCCTCACCACATCCTTCTCTCTAAATTAGAGAGGTGTGGATTTGAACAATGGACTGTTTGGAGGATTAAGAATTGGCTGGCTGGATGCAGTCAAAGTGTTGTGATCAATGGTTTTGTGTCAGGGTGGAGGCTGGTCACAAGCGGTGTCCCTTAGGGGTCGGTCTTGGGACCACTGCTCATCAACATCTTCATCAATGACAGAGATGGCACTGATTACACCTTCAGCACTCAGTTTGCGGATGACAAGGGTGCTGCACTTAGGTTGGGGCAATCCCAGGTATTTATACAGACTAGATGAAGATCTCCTTGGGAGCAGCCCTGTGGAGAAGGACTTGGTGGTTCTGCTGGATGAGAAGCTGGACATGAGCCAGCAGTGTGCGCTTGCAGCCTGTAAGGCCAACTGTGTTCTGGGCTGCATGAAAAAAGGGGTGGCCAGCAGGGAGAGGGAGGTGATTGTCCCCCTCTACTCGGCTCTTGAGAGGCCCATGTGCATCCAGGCCTGGGGACCCCAGCACAGGAAAGACGTGGAGCTCTTGGAGCAGGAGGAGGGCACTGAGATGGTCAGAGGGCTGGAGCACCTCTCCTATGAAGAAAGGTCGAGGGAACTGGGCTTGTTTAGCTTGGAGAAGAGAAGGCTCCAGGGAGACCTCATTCTGGCCTTCAGTACTTGAAGGGAGCGTATAAACAGGAGGGGGAATGGCTGTTTGTGATGGTGGATAGTGACAGGACAAGGGGGAATGGTCTGAAACTGACACAGAGGAGGTTTAGGTTAGATATCAGGAGGAAGTTTTTCACACAGAGGGTGGTGAGGCACTGGAACATGTTGCCCAAGGAAAGCAAAGGCGCGGGGCGGCCGCGGAGACGGCCGAGGGGAGTGGGGAGAGGGGAGCCCGCCGGGGCTCTGTGACGCGGGCCGGCGTCGCGCCCCAAGGCCATTGTGACGCGGGG